TTTGTATCTGAGCACCAAAAACACTATTCTGAAGAAATATGATGGACGTTTTAAAGACATCTTTCAGGAGATATATGACAAGTAAGTACAGTTTTTTTTGTTTGTTTGTTTGTTTCCTTTTCTCTCAAGTAAGCTGGTATTTATCATATAGAATTTGCATCTCCCTATCTTTTTGATTCTGGGACAAATCAAGTAAAAATTGTCACTATCCCATAAAGATAAGGGCAAAACTGAGATTTAAGAGGAGTGAAACAAAACCATTCTGATTGCTTTCAGAAGATAAATGTGCTCTTAAATAGGGGTTAGTGTTTGAATAAAAGTGCCCTGTTACTGATAGAAAGGTCTGATTTTTCAAGTGCATGAATTTCTGAGTCAGACCCATTTCCATTCTTTCTGAAGCTCATTGTTATAATTTAAAATTCTGTTGTAGTGCAGTCCTTTGAACTTAAGTCTAAATTTATAACAACTTCGAATGCAGGAACATATGAGGTGAGTATATGTTAACTTTCAAGATGACGTAACTTCCTTTTAGGTGCAAGTGTTCAGACCAGGACTTGGATTTTAGATGAGAAATCTTTCCTGAAGCATTTTGATTTCTCATCCTGCTACCCATCTATACTAAGCTTAAAAACTATCCTGGAATAAATCTAGTTTCCTGAATAATATCAAGCAGTAGAATAGTGTCTTTTTTCTTTATTATACCCTTAAAATAAGCAAATCTTGAGAATCTGATCAGTAGCATATTGAGAACTGTGAAAAGTAAAGTAGTAGTTGGAATATTCTACTGTCTCATTTAATCCTTACACCTTCCCCGCAAGGTGGGTAAAAAAAATCACTCTTATGGATAACTAAATTGGGGTTTCACAGCTAGAAATTGGGCAGGGATTTGAGCCTGTGTCTGTCAGATTCTGAAGTTTGTGTTGCTTCTATTAATACTAAAAAATACTGTGTCCTTCTCCCACCCCCTTTGAGAGAAGCAAATGATGTCCTAACAAAACAAATTTTCTTTTTTATTGTTCTCTTTTCTCTACTGTTTCTTAGGCAGTACAAACCCCAATTTGAAGCCCAAAAAATCTGGTACGAGCATAGGCTCATCGATGACATGGTGGCTCAGGCTATGAAATCAGAGGGAGGCTTCATCTGGGCCTGTAAAAACTATGATGGTGATGTACAGTCGGACTCCGTGGCACAAGGTAAGGAGCCAGAGGGCCAAATGGAGGTGGAGCTTGGCCTGCAGCATTTGGGTCATTCCACCTTCGTTCTCCAATTTCGGAAGAGGGATTTTGTAGCCCTTTGTTGTAAAACGGTGCAATGTTAGAGCTGCAAGGCATCAAGGTCCATCACCTACTCTGACAGATAAGGCAATTTATCTCAGACTGGCAAGTAACTTTACTCAGGGTCACATGGAAAGTAACTGAGTGGATTGACACTCCTGGCTCCAGCCTATCTGGTCTGAAAATTGTTCCCTTTCTCTACCCCCATTTTCCTTCTGATGAGAATGTAAAAAACCAGGGCACTCTGGCAAGGAGGGGTTAAGTGAGAGTCCTGGATTGTCTAATAACCAAGGCGGGTGGGGGTCTCCAAGAGCACATTCATGGGGCAACAGGCCCTAGTCATGACTCTCTGCCGGCCTTGAAGGCTGTTCCAGTACTATATAAAACAAATGTGTTCACTACTTAGCTTTAAACACAAAGAAGTTGAGCAAAGAAGCACAGAGCTATTCACAGAAATTCTAGGAACCAGGGGTTTCAGGCCTGGGATAGGGACCAAATCAACAGAAGCTCTCCCTTCCCTGATTTCCTCAGTGCCAAGTCTTCTTCAATTTCAGTTACCCATGCTAGCTGTGTAAACTTGAATCTCCCCAGATGGATGTTTGTGTTAACTTTAATTATGTTTGCTTTTCCCCAGGAAGTACTTTTTTCTCTCTCTTATAAGTGTTAAGTGTCTCCTATCAGTGTGAAAGGTAACTTTTACGTCAGATAAATGAGTTACACAACTCTCTTTTCCTGCCTTCTGTTTATCTAAGTCCTCACAATCATTTGTACTGCATGCAACAGAGAAAAGGAGTGATGCTTTGTGATAACTCCATGGTGGATAAGGAAAACTATTCCTTGAAATCAGAGTTCTGGGAAAGGGACCCAAGCTATTCCATTATTTTTAAATATCCTCATGGCAATAAGAAGAGAATATTTAGAGAAATATTTCAAATGTAAATGTCAAGTTATGGAGGTTCAAAGGTCTTGGAAATAAGATTTCTAAAGCACAGCGTGCAATAGTGCACTGAGAAGAGACCTGGACCAGGGCTCCCTGTCTGCGCAGAACCTGTAGGTAATGTGACCTCAAGGCAGCTAAACAGATTAACAGCAAGGCCAGGCGCGGTGGCTCAAGCCTGTAATCCTAGCACTCTGGGAGGCCGAGGCGAGCGGATCGTTTGAGCTCAGGAGTTCGAGACCAGCCTGAGCAAGAGCGAGACCCCGTCTCTACTAAAAAGAGAAAGAAATTAATCGGACAACTAAAAATATATAGAAAAAACTAGCCGGGCATGGTGGCGCATGCCTGTAGTCCCAGCTACTCGGGAGGCTGAGGCAGTAGGATCGCTTGAGCCCAGGAGTGTGAGGTTGCTGTGAGCTAGGATGACGCCACGGCACTCACTCTAGCCCAGGCAACAGAGTGAGACTCTGTCTCAAAAAAAAAAAAAAACGGATTAACAGCAGCGCTGTCCTTTCATTCATTCTTCTCCAGAGACTTGGACTTTCGCCATTTTAATTGTATTCTCAGTTTTGACAATGGTACCAGCCCATGTCTACTGACAGTAATAGACAAACTCAGCATGGGTATGGTCGTGAACTTATCTAGTCAATAAATATTTGAGTATCTACGAAGCCTCAGACCACACAGTGCTATGGAAGGAATTACTAATCCCACATAGAAATTTGTGCTAATTGTACTCAAAAATGACTGAAAAAAAAAATTATAGTTAATCTACTTAATCTCACACCAAAATAAAAAAAAAATGTAGCAGCCTATTATAAATTTACATCAGTAACTTCTCAGGTGCTCTTGGGAGGTAGCAAAAATTGAGAAAAGGGTTCTATGAATTCAAGTGTAAGAGAGTGAATGAAAGAAGAAAAATTAGTTGCATGGACTTATAACGTGGTTCTCTGAACAGGAAACCACAGAAGAGGATTGTTTTGTCGAGGGTCTTAAAGAGAAAAAGAAGGGCAAGTGGGATATTCTTGAATCCAACCCACCCATCCTGTGTTTGGGTTTTTTTTTTTTTTTGAAACAGGATCTCATCCTGTCACCTGGGCTAGAGTGCAGCGGCGTCCTCATAGCTCACTGCCATGTCAAACTGCTGGGCTCAAGCAATCCTCCTGCCTCAGCCCCCAAATAGCTGGGACTACAGGTGCATGCCACCATGCCTAATTTTTTTTTTTTTTAATTTTTTTGTAGAGGTAGGGTCTCACTGTGTTGCCCAAGCTAGTCTTGAACTACTAGCCTCAAGCGATCATCCTGCCTCAGCCTCCCAAAGTACTAGGATTACAGGCATGAGCTACTGTGCCCAGCCTTAACTGCCTTTCTTCCCAATCCCAGCAAGTATATTAGCAGCTTGAGGGCAGAAGACAGCTCTCATTCATCTTTATTTCCCCAGAATAACAGAATGTCTGCATATAAGAATAACAATAATATACTGAGCTCTTTCTATGTGGCCAGTACTATTTAAGGAATATGAATATACTTTTCATATGTATTTATGAATATATATATATTCATCTAATGCTTTAACAATTCAGTGAAGTAGGTGCTTTTATTATTCTTCTTTTTTAGGTAAGAAAATTGAACACAGTAACTATGGAGTCACAACACTAGGGTGAAATACATGCAGTCAAGCCCCTGAGCCCTCCATCACAGAGGAGGTGTCCCTGAGATAAGTGAGGAAAAAGTACAGCCTTTCCAGGTCCTTTGACTCTGACATCTAGAGCAGGGACTCTGCTGTCTAAACAGCAGAAGAATTTTTTTTTTTTTTTTTTTTTGAGACAGAATCTCACTTTGTCAGCTGGACTAGAGTGCTGTGGTGTCAGCCTAGCTCACAGCAACCTCAAACTCCTGGGCTCAAGCAATTCTCCTGCTGCAGCCTCCCGAGTAGCTGGGATTACAGGCACACGCCACCACACCTGGCTAATTTTTCTATTTTTAGTAGAGACAGGGTCTCGCTCTTGCTGAGGCTGGTCTCGAACTCCTGACCTTAAGCGATCCTCCTGCCTCAGCCTCCCAGAGTGCTAGGATTACAGACATGAACCACCGTGTCCAGCGGCAGAAGAATTATTGATGACTCCATGTGTTCCATATACTTTGTTTTCCAAGACCTGTCAAGATTGAATCATTTGCTCTCTGAGAGACCCAGTGCACTTCATGTAGTTGAACCTAGTGCTTCGTGCTCTGCCATCTATAGGTTATGGCTCTCTTGGCATGATGACCAGTGTGCTGATTTGTCCAGATGGCAAGACAGTAGAAGCAGAGGCTGCCCACGGGACCGTAACCCGTCACTACCGCATGTACCAGAAAGGACAGGAGACGTCCACCAATCCCATTGGTAAGATGGTGTTTACTTCTACATTGGTTTCCAGTCAGAGAGTGCTCTCCAAAGAGACTCAGTGTTTTGTGTGCAAAGTCATCACCGAATAGCTGATTTGTTCTACTAATAACAGCTATTTTAATATGCCTCTTAAAATACACAATATATGTATGTGTGTTTCTATTTTGTAGGAGAACATAGGTTACAAAGAAGAATGTTATCAACAGGCCTTTTCCTTTACTTCTGGCGCAGTGAAATGTCACATAAGGCTACAAATCTAAAAGCTACTTGGGTAGATCCTTCCAACAAGGTTTCAAGGACAGAACTTTAAAAAGAGATTACAGCCTGGAAAGAGGAGACCAATATAGACAAGAGATAGAAGAGATGGTGACCTCTCTCAAATTAGTAAATGCCTTAAGCTGCAAGCACTAGCACTACACTGTAAAAATGCACTTTCTTTTAAAGTTTCTATTTGGTAAAAAATATTTCCAACTCTCCTAAAACTTCTAGCTCATATGGATAACATCTAATGAAGTCTATCACCTAAACAAAAGCTATTTTGTTTTGGGGTATTATGACACATTTGGGAATCCTATAACTGGGATGATTGGAGTGTTGTTGTTGTTTTCCTCTTTCAGCTTCCATTTTTGCCTGGAGCAGAGGGTTAGCCCACAGAGCAAAGCTTGATAACAATAAAGAGCTTGGCTTCTTTGCAAAGGCCTTGGAAGAAGTCTGTATCGAGACCATTGAGGCTGGCTTCATGACCAAGGACTTGGCTATTTGCATTAAAGGTTTACCTAAGTAAGTATAAGATGCCCAAACTCTGTGGTCAAATTACCACTTGTGCTCACTGGGCTCAAACCATCAGTGCTTTTTGGAATTATATGAATTGTTATTCATCATCTAGTTCAAGGGTCAGCAGACATTATCTGTAAAATTGTGAACATTTTAGGTTTTGTGGAATGTACAGTCTTTTTGCAGCTACACAACTATTCAACTTTGCCTCTGCTGTTGTAGCAGGAAAGCAGTCATAGACCAGTCCAGAAAGGAATGGATATGGCAGCATCCCAGTCAAATTTTACGTTCAAAACTAGGTTGCGGGCTAGATTTGGTCCATCACCAGGCTGTGGTTTGCTGATCTCTCATGTAGTTGACAATCATTGAATGATAAGGTTCCATTTAATTTTAAGGAGAAAATCATAGACAATTAGAAATAAGGGGACCTCACAGGCTATTTTATTCCACTCCTTTATTTTCTTTAACTTACAGATGAGAAAAGTAAGCAGCACAAGTATAAGATGTCCAGTTTATTTTAATTCCTTTCTTAAGTATCTGTAACCATCAGTCAAATATTTGAGGGCCCATGTGTTGCCCAGGTTTTTTCCAAGAACATGGTAGCCAGTGTTCCAGTTGGATTAGCTGCTAATCAGAGATTCCTCCCTCAAAGTCAGAGTTAGTTACTATCACCCACCTCAGGAAACACTACTAAAATTTGACACTAATACCATGTCCCAACCAGTGTGTCCCCAGAAATATCGGTTAGGGTCAGTATAGCCCAGTGATGGGGATATACTCAGTCACTACATGTTTCTTAAATTTCCAGCAAGAAAACAATGTTTGAAATGTTCTTATCAGTTAATACCTTTGTAGCCTATTTGATAGGCATCTATCAGCAGGATTATGTTAGCCAGTCCATTGTCTTCTTGTTCTTACGTAGAACCCTGATAGAAGTAAGAGCATTAAAACTTTTTGTGAGGAGGCCAGGCCCGGTGGCTCACGCCTGTAATCCTAGCACTCTGGGAGGCCGAGGCGGGCAGATTGTTTGAGCTCAGAAGTTCGAGACCAGCCTGAGCGAGAGCGAGACCCCATCTCTACTAAAAATAGAAAGAAATTAATCAGACAACTAAAAATACGTAGAAAAAACTAGCCGGGCATGGTGGCGCATGCCTGTAGTCCCAGCTACTCGGGAGGCTGAGGCAGAAGGATTGCTTGAGCTCAGGAGTTTGACATTGCTGTGAGCTAGGCTGACACCACCCCTGGCACTCTAGCCAGGGCAACACAGTGAGACTCTGTCTCAAAAAAAAAAAAAACTTTTTGTGAGGACATGAAACAGTTTGTGGGAAAGTGGGTACAGTTTGGCTGTACCCTGAATGAGTTTTGTTATCTATAAGAATGAGGAAGAAGAAGTGGGATGATTTTGGACTCACCAGCATTGATCTGAACTGAAGCTCTGTGATAGTTTCACCCTCAACGCTATGTGGCAAGAAACCTACCGTGAATGTGGATGTAGATAAGCCTTCCCCTCAGGCTGCCGAGAGAGCTTGAGTCCTGAGCCTGAGTCATCCCCATGAGCCTTGAGCACATTGTAGATTCGTGGCTTGTTAACATTAATGAATTTTCTTCCAGAAATAAATAGAATTTAAGTAGCATTTCTAGGACTTTTCTCCTACCTGCTGCTATATCAGAGACAAACTAAATTTTCTTCTTTTTTTCCTCCCCTGTTAGCGTGCAACGTTCTGACTACTTGAATACATTTGAATTCATGGACAAACTTGGAGAAAACTTGAAGATAAAACTAGCTCAGGCCAAACTTTAAGGTCATACCTGGGCTTAAGAGGATAAATGTTTTTTGGAAACTAGGTCCACAGGTTTACATTTTTCTGTATAACACTCAAGGGTAAAGGCAAAATCAATTTTGTAATTAGTTTAGAAGCCAGAGTTTATCTTTTCTATAAGTTTGTAGCCTTTTTCTTATACATATAGTTATTGCCATCCTCATGAATGTGGCAGGGGAATTGTTTTAAATTTTGTTTTATTTTCTAGTAATAGCCTAGAAATTAGGTTAGTACTTATTCGTATTCACTGTCACTTTTTCTCATGTTCTGATGTAAATGACCAAAATCAAGAGTGCTCAAAAGTGTAAATGATAGCCACAGTTTTGTTCCCTAAAATATGTGTAAAATAGAAACTCACTCCCTTGCCCTCTTGTCCATGACCTTGGGCACTCGGGTGTTTTGGTGTTACAGATGTCCCATTACGTGAGGTAGAACTGTACATTCAACTTGCACATGATTGGAACAAAGTATGAGTGCAATTAAAATGTGTTGAAGACATTGCTGTCATTTTTGTGAAGAGCTTGTTGAATGTTTCCAATATATTGAGGCCACCGGAGAGTTTGGAATCCAGAATAAATACTACCTGCAGGTTTGTCCTCTGTTTTGTCTCTTCCTCCCCCTGGCCTGGCCTGAACATTATGCTACCCTAAGTAGCATATTTCATCCAAGTGCAATAATGTAAGCTGCATCTTTTTTGGACTTCTGCTGGCCTGTTTCATTTCTTTTATATAAATGTGATTTCTCAGAAGTTTAATAAACACTATTCTAGTCCTGTTCTTCATCTGAACTGTTAATTTTAATTAAAATCAAGTGCTAATGACTATTGTTCTGAGTTTTTATTTATTTGATGCATTTATATGCCAAGCACCATACTAGCTGTAGGAATTTTTTTTTTTTTTTTTTTTGAGACCACCAACTTTGTTCTTTTTCTCAGGGTTGTTCTGGCTATTCTGGGCACTTGAATTTCCATATAAATTTTATGATTAGCTTGTCAATTTATGCAA